ATGATGGTTTAAAAATGTTTAGGTTAGTTTTAAATGTTAGAACTGTCAAATATCGGGCCAATCTGCACTAATGCACGGTTATGGGGGCAGCGTGTGGCTCAGTGGGCTAAGCCGTGTGCCTGTAATCACAAGGTCGCCGGTTCAAGCCCAGCCTCAGCACGTCTGCGGGTCCTTGAGCAAGACCCTCAATCCCCAGCTCCCTGGGTGCCGCTACGGGTGGCTGCCCTTTGCGGACAGCTTGCTCTACAAAGAGCAAGTTGAGGGAGGCGTAAAAACAATTTCCCCACGGGGATCAATAAAGTATCAATTATATTATATTATATTATATTATTATATAATTATTATATTATTACTTCTCTTTGGCTGCCCTCTCGCGGATTTTCTGAGTAATTACAAACAGAATGTAATTTTGAGAAATGTCCAGTAGAGGGCAGAAAGTGTTCATATATGAATAAACGTATGCATTGTATTCATTTTGTATAATATGTAGACATTATTTTTTTCTACAAAAGTAACAGTAAGTCAGGAAAGTATGAGCCTGGTCCTGCAGGTCAGTGAAGGATATAGGAAATGAGAAATGTACTCAGTTTATTGTTCTATTTAAAATGTCATCAAAGAGATGACAGCCTTGAATTATGGGCATGAAAGGTAAAGGTATCTTTGCATACAGCGGCTCCTGAGGTGTCTTTCATATTTTCCATACCACCAGTGTCAATGGAAGTAATATCTGGAAGAAACACAGCAACAGTTAATCACTGTTTCTTCTGCAGAAGCTCGTGGTTCAGTTGCTTAGATGGCCAGACTGAGAGGCGCTTTCACAAACAGATCTTAGGAAACCTGCTTAACTCACTGCAACTTTCATGAATTACATGAGAACGCCAAGTGTCAAGAATATAATTATGTTAGTATCTATATTTCTGACGAAAAGGAAGGCAAAGTAGCTCACATCAGCAGAAATACTTTTAATGATGTATCTTTAACCTCCTGAGACCCAAGGAAAAAAGTGTCCTTCAATTGTAGGTTATTTGTCTTTGGAGGAAATAAGACATCTTACAATTTAGATTTTTTTCAAATTTATTCTTATTTTAATTTCACAGCATGTCCTCTTTAGTGCACAACAAGAATAAATACGTTTCCCAACATCAGTGAAAAAATAAATGCAAAAATACAATGTCCACTACAATGGACATAAATGAATAGGTCGGGTCTCAGGAGGATAAAATAGGGTTTGTAGATTTACCCTTAATTTTCAGTGGCAACCAAGTTGTAGGGGCTGTGAAATTGTTAGCTTGAGTGTCAGCTTACAATGGCAGAGGTAAAGAAAAAAAAAAAGGCTTTGCAGCCTTGAAGTTTTTCAGAAAGCTGCATGCTACAGCCTGCATAATCATCTGGCAGTGGTTTCATCAGATAAAGTTGCTCTGAATTTACTTTTAAAGTCACACAAGGATACACTTGTTGCATTTCAAGTACAAATACCATTCTCACATATTTTCCCATTAAGAACATAGAATAGAATAGAATAGAATAGAATAGAATAGAATAGAATAGAATATCTTTATTGTTATTGTTCACATGTAGACTATATGTGCTCACCCATCAGTGCTACATATTATAAATATAGATAAATAATAAAATAAAATGAATAATATATACAGTATAGATGTACAGAATAGTTGAATAGTGATTCAAAGTGTAGTAGTGCAATAATATACTTTTTAGCAGTACTGTAAACAGGCAGTTGTTTGGGGGGGGCATACAGAAAGTCCTTGGAGTGGAGTGGGGGGGATCTGATTTCAGATTCTCGTTGCTTGTTGCCTGCTTAAGATGATTTATGTCTTTAGGAATTAGTAGGAATAAATGTCACCAATGCAACTGACTCACATTTCCTCTGTCTCCCCTTCATCCCCTCATCATCTCCCCTGCCATCTTCCCGTTTAATCCTTTCCTTCTCTAAATATTTACAATAAAATATTTATCCCGTTTCGTTTCCATATCGACTATAAGAAATTTCTTGCCGTACGGCCCTATTACTTGAGACCAAAGCTGGGAAAATGATCATTAAGTTAAAATACAATTTTTAGTTTCTGGCACTGGCATTTTGATCAAACAAACAAAAAAAAATGAAGAGACTGTAATAAGTACACCACTACTATGGTGGGCTCAAAAAGTCAAAAACAAAATCCCTGTGAAATCCTACGCAAGCTTCACTATCAGCGAAAGATGGCAGCTGCCTATGTCACCTTATAGGTTGACTGGCACTGCTTCTGTGACATCTCATCGCAAATGTCCTTTCAAGAAAGGAAAAAGCACCTTGTTCAATCGAACAAAAGGATAGCTGCTAATATCCCTCCACACATCACACCTGTCTGCAGGCCGCAGGCTTTAATCACACATATTATTTCATCATGACATTTGTGCCTTCTACTAAGTGTAGCAGTAACATTTTCTGGGATGTTTTCCAAAGCATAAAAAGATTTTATGATCTAGTTAAATTCATGTCACATGATACATTTATTGAGAAATCATACACCACAGTATTTTTTTTTATTCTGACCAATTTTAAACATCAAATGGGTGGGTGAATATAACGTATCACAATTAATTGTTATACGTTAACTTATTTTATTGGTGAGTGAGTGCAAAGATACTGTGTTCTACATTATAGTGGCCAAAATTGTGATGCTAAGATTTAAAAAAATGTTTGGAGGAATCAGTTGCGTGGTCCGCATTAAATTGTATATTGGTCCATATGTGAAAATACAGGGCAAATCACGTCCCGTATTAGTTCAGAATGGGACACAGCATTTTAATTCAAAACAAGACCATCCCATAAAACACATGATGGGTGGCAACTCTAAGAAATTCAATAAACATGGTTGTTCGAGGCCCCTTTTTTCCGGAGGCCCTGGGCTTCAGGCCAGGTACAAACATTCATTAAAGAACCCCTGGATATAAACTGTCATTCAAGATGAACTTATGAATCTGGAAATTCTCTCCATTCCAGTCACACTCTGCTGTGACATGGGTGACACGAGGAGGCAATTATTGTCTTTATTGTTGCTCTTAATGCCTGTTCTTTGCAGATTAAGTTAAATCCCTTTTGGGCGGGAATGACGGGCATTCCTCTCCTCGGGTAGGGCTTTTTCAGCCCAAGAGAAACAATGTTACGCAATATTGTTTGCGTTGTTTTGGCACTTTGTATTTGCACTGTTTTCATTTCTATGCGTTTTATTCATCTCACTGCAGTATGCAAAAGAATTCTCCCCTAGAAACAATAGTGCATATCTTACTAACCCTCTGTTTCCCAAAGCTTTCAATAGTAACTTTTTGCTCAATTGTATGGTTCAAACTCTGTAAGTTGCTAACGTTGTTGTTGTTCGGTGTTCAAATTTTCGGTTCATTCTTATGGTTGCAGTGATTGACTCAACAGCTTTAGGCAGAACTGCCCTGTAAAAGCAAAACATATTAACTGCGTATTTCATTAAAATTATCTTACAGTATGAAATCATAACGTACGATGGGATATAGTTGTTGGATTTAGTTGGTAACGACCAACTTTGGAGGCAATTGAGTTCTGTAGTGATTAACTTCAAAGTATAATAGCTATATGAATCAAGAGAAAATGAAAATGATGAGTGCTCTTTGATCTGTGAAAATTTGTTTGTGCCAGTGTCTCAACCTGTCTGAGACCCTCCACAAAGATAATGTATTCTTATCTTTATCTTATCAAAACAAACAAATTCAAAAGGAGCCAGTTCATACACTGTCTACTAACAGATAACAGATCTGCAGGTCTAACACTTCAGTCCATGTACGGCGTCTGTCAAACCAGCAATAGCTCAGGATTCTCCGAAGAGACACGGTACCAAAGGAGTCCAGTCTTTGTCTCATCTCACTGGACAGCGTTCATGTCTCACAGCCATACAGCAAGACAGGGAGAGCCAGGATTCAAAGGCTTGGACTTTCATCCACTTACAAAGATATCGGGAGCCACACGCCCCTTTCCAGCGACCTCATGACCCCCCCATGCTCTCCCAATCCGTGATTGGGTGTCCCTGTGTTGTCTGTAGTGTGAGGCCGTGTGCCCTGGGATATACCCTCCCGGGATGGTTATACTGCAATTGCTGTCCTCAATGTTATGGGACATAAAGCATAACATATATGCTAAATTGCTGTTTGCAACCACAGAGTATCAGACAGAAATGCCTGCAGTGAGGAGGATTGTTGATTGTTGTGAAGTTTATTTAAAAAATCATCCAAACATTGAACAGACTATCAAAGTACACAGAATCTGAAAAACACATTAAGATGTAAAAAAAGTAATTATGTCTTGACATCCCAGACTAGGACAGGCAATTAAAAAAATAGATTATGTCATCTGTCATCAGTGGAAATAATATTAAATGTATAGTGGTACCTCAGAACTCGAATTTAATCCGTTCAGAACTCTGGATCGAATCCTAAGAAGTTCGAGTTGTGATCGAACTTTCCCCATAAGAAATAATGGAAAGCCAATTAATTGGTTCCTGGCCCCAAAAAAATCACACCTAAATATGTTTTTTTTAGCATTTAAACACAAAATGAAAAAGTGATAAAACAAGAAGAGCATATACTGTACTAAACACATCTAAGCACATTTATTAAAACAGTAGTTTGTAAAGTAAGAAAATAAATGTATCCAATGTGTCCTGCCTCGATCGTTCGCTCCTTTCGTGTGCCAAGCCCCCTCGTTAACCTTGTGTGGAATCCCCTTGTGATCAGCTGTTTCTGGTTGTTTTCATTAGCCCTCTGTATTTCGTCCGCGTTTCCGTTTGTTTCCCCAGTCCGGTCATTGTATTGTAAGTCTGCGTTTTGCCTGCCTTACCTGTAATTAAACCCCGTATTCCCCGATACCCTGACGTCTGCGCCTTTGTCTCCGTTCCGTCCCCGCTCGGCACAACAATATTATTATTATTATAATTAAACGTATTAATGGTTTATTATTAATATTATCTTTATAATCTTTATATAATCTTTATTTTAAAATGTATTTTATTACATAATAATAATAATTACTGTCTATCATTGTCTAAATGTATTTTTACTGTCTAAATATATGTATTCAGTTAGTGTAAACATGCATGGTGCTATCACAGTGCTATCACTGTAATTTCCACACTATCTGCTTTATAAAATACTGCTCAGGAGTAGATGTTGAGATACAGCCACTGAAAATAGAGAAAAAAAATTGGTTATAGTTTAGCAGAAATTTCCATTAACCTACCCATCTTCGTAACCAATACTGATAACTACTAAGCCCCCCAAAATACCATTACCTCTTTTTCTTTGAGGTACATGCCTTTCCCATCTGACAGGTTCTTGAATATTTCTGTGAGAAAATGATTCCACATATTATGTCATATTCACCAAAATTACACGCATAAATGCAAGTACTAGTATTTACTAGTAGTTCTGTGCATTCATTTTTCTAAAACTCCATTTATTTGACACTTGCCATCCTAAAATGTCTAGTGGATAAAAATCGATTTATACCACCATGTGGTCAAACTCTTGAATCAGAAGGGTGTTGAGTAATTTTCTGTATCCATGTACACAGTGCCAGCTAGGTAAACCACAGTAGTAAATTAATGCACGATTACGATCTTTGATTCTAACTAATGTTATTTAACAAAAATGAAAAACCAAGAAAATGGTAAAGGTCTCAGACAACACTTCTGGTGACCAGGACCTGTGATCAGTGATTAATTATCAAAATTATTTACTGATGTAATGCACTTGTAGTCCAGTCATACTTTACAGTTCTGTTTAACCTGCCTAAACAAGATGGTACGCTAGTCTGGTTTTAATAATTGGTAAATTTTACCCATGATGGAGCTGAATACGTGGAGGTACAGAAAGGTAAATTAATAAGACAATAGCTCAGTATTTCTATTTACATTTCTTTGGCTACACAGCAGCGTGTTTAAAAACTTATAATGCATGGCTTGGAGTCCATTATCCTTTACATATTTAACCTCCAAAACTGGTCATAACTTAACCACGGTAACCATTGTGCCCTTGTGATAGTGATTAATGGAAAAACAGAAAAAACTTTATCAATCACTAGAGGGAGATTTGGGCTTTACGGCAAGAAACAGAAAGACAATGGGACAAAAAATAGTCAGTGACATATTTAAATAATAAACATTAGAAATTAGGTCTTTGTACCAGAAATAAATACAATTATGCAAAAAGGCTGTAATGTGCCAACAGGATTTATCAGACTCGGGAGAATTCCTGGTGGGTTGCTTAGCTGCTGTACCGGTCAGAAACAAAACAATTTGTCTAGTCTAAGATTGGGCCACTCGGAAACAAAACACTTTTGTGTTGAAGATTTTACAACAACGCTTCAAAATGTCATCCAGCAAGTCCCCCCTCCCCCACATACACACACACACACACACAATAGACCACAATTGCAGGGTTGCCAACTCTCACGCATCTTCCGTGGCACTCAGGCTTTCAGACTCTCACGCAAGAAATCTTACAGCAAAACTGTATTATTCCATTACAAAACTAAAATTAGCTGCATCAACAGCATTGGGGTAGTTTTNCACACACACACACACAATAGACCACAATTGCAGGGTTGCCAATTCTCACACATCTTCCGTGGCACTCAGGCTTTCAGACTCTCACGCAAGAAATCTTACAGCAAAACTGTATTATTCCATTAAAAACCTAAAATTAGCTGCATCAACAGCATTGGGGTAGTTTGCAAACCCTACAGACTAATAACAAGATGATAAAACTGTTACATACATGTAAATGCGTGTGCATGTGTGTGACTTGTCTCGAATTGAAAATCTCACTCCAGTCTTGGCCATAAAATTTCCTGGCTGGGGCCTAGTATTTATATTAAAGAAGTAACAAGAGTAAATAATGGGGGGAAATGCATATGTAGCAGTTCTGAGGAGGAACTCACTGTTCAAGCTGTGCAGACGCAGCATGAGGAAGATGAAGCTCTCCATAGTGATTTCCCTGGAAGAGCTGCCATGGCGCAAGGCCACCAGGTTCAGCAGGTCATCGCTCACGGTGACGCCTGGCAAAGCAAGGCAGAAATGCTAGTATAAAAAGCACAGGGTGTTGACACAAGCAAACTACAAACAAATGGCTTTCATGGGCAGAGTTTGGGGGGGCCAATCGCCTGAATCAAAATTGCAATTAATTGGCAATTTGGACACCTATGCCAGTCTGGAAAAAGACGACCCCTCCTGCATTGGCTAAATTGCGATGTAAGTGTTTTACCTGTATAGCTAACAAATTGAATGGATTTAGCAGTTGTCTGTTTTGGTTAGTTGTTTGAATGCAATAGTTTACCATCAAAGGTCAGTAAATCGAGGGTGTAGTGAGGTTATAATTGTGCTCTGTGCTGGCACTTTGCGTCTTTGCATTAGAGGTTGCAAGTGCAAACATCAAACTCCGCCTACGATGGCCTTCAAGTCAGAAAGTAATTGGAATTATAGGAGGTTCTCTAGCAGTTTCAGGTCACACTATCTGAAGTGGTTGGGCTTGTGCCCAGGGCCTGTGGCTGTCTCTGCACTCTGACCCCAGCCTGTACTCATATAAATGCAAATAAAGTACCATGTCTTTAAAAAAAATTAAAAAAATAAGAAACATAAGCATATTTCCTGAAAATTAAACACAGTCTCAATTCGATTAGATGTCGGGGGCACCTGCGGCTTGAATTGCACTCCGCAGTTCTTGCAAGGACAACTTTCCAGTACGAGAAACATCCTTCCTGATGAAAACGTCCTGTGAAGCATTTAAATTTTTTATAAATAGCAGCCGTGCATGCAAAATGCAAGGTTGGTGTTTGTGTGAGATATGTGGATCTACAGAGGATTACATACCTTGTAAGCCTGAACACGTTTCCACAAACGTGAGAACTCTGCGTTTTTCAGTGTTCCAGTGACTGAAAGCTGTGGACGAACCAGTTAAGGGAATATTCCCAACAAGCTTGACATAGTGGTTTGAAAGCCAGGAAAAAATCTGCAGGCCCACACTTAAAAATATTATTTAATGAGTGCACGGGTTAATTCTTACAGTATGAAAAAAATCAGTATAATAATTAGAATTCAGTTATAAATAAGTAGCTAGCAAAAAAGCAAAGAATAGGAAGAGAGATTAGAAGCTATGGATGTTTTCATACTACAGAGATAAAGGATACATCCATCATCGCTACAATACTTCTGCACATTTCCAAACCAAAGCCACCTGATGACATGTCTGGAAAAAATAAAGCATTGTATCATGATTACTTTAACAACGTATCTTCGCTGCCATAGTATGTTTCTTAAAGTACAATACAGCATAACCCCACAGGGTACGCTATACCCAGATCAGAGACACAATTACTATTATACAAAAAATATATATTACTGTACAAAAAGCTTCACTTGATATTTTTCTGATTTACTCTGGTTCTGAAGCCCCTTTTCTAGGGGAAAATGTCACAATGATAAATTCATGGTTGTTCACTTGTGGTCCTGCAGACCCAAGTCTTCGATCATTCAACACATAATTAAGAGCCTAGACAGGGTCCTAACAGACAAAAAAAAGCCATGGTTTGAGTAACTGGCTGAAAGTAAATCCTACTGTACTTAGCTCTCTGGAGCTGTAATTTAATAGCCCTGCCATTTGCCGTAATAGATTAAGATCGTACCTGTGACCACATTCTCATTCAGAAGTTTCTGTAGTTGTTCCGCATCAACTTCCTTGAGCTTGTTCAATCAAAGAACAAAAAGCAAAATTTGATTTTTATATATAAGCTATATTTAATTACATTTGTATGTTTGAATACCTTTCACACAATCTAATTGCATGCTTGTGGACTACAGTACCTTATCAGAGTATTGAGCAAACACAGATTCGTGCTCAGTTGGGGCATAGCTGGAATAGATTTTCTGAAAGAAATTAGAAATCTTAAGTTTCAGTTATACGGCAGGTAGAATTTATACAGAACTGTCAGGAAACACTAGGTACTATAAATCAGTGGGTTGGGCAATGAGAGGACATGACTGGGATTCACTGATTTCGTAATTCCATGTCAATCAATCATCAAGGATCTGTGTCCACAAATTTCTCAGTTAATGAAAACCAGCTGGCCTTTATTAATGTGGCATTTCTCTTAATAAACCTCCTTCTGCTGCTTTGAACTGTTCATCTACACCTTCTGTCCAACTCATGCAATAGATCTCAAGTTCCTGGAAATTATTAAGTTAAAAAGCAAGGCAGTGAACCACTCTCCCTCTGGCCGACTGAATCTCCCTTTGTGAATATGGTTAGCCTGCATGTTGTTCTATAAAGACATGCTCAGGTGTATCAGCCAGCCTACATATAAAACTGGAGAAGTTCATTTGCCCCTAGAACTTTTGGCCCAAGTGCATTAGCGCCTGACAACCTGGCAGTTTGCCCTTGGACGGTAATCTGGGATTTGGCATAGTCACCACCAAACTGGTCTAGCCACATTAAAGCCACAGGACATGGCAAGCAGTAGGCAGGTAAGCCTCATGCCCCAGGCTCAGCGGGAGCATGTTTGACAGTGGATTAACTGATGCAGCGCAGCATAAATCTGACACATTTCTACTGTGTAGCCAGAACTCCCATAAAAGGACGGAGCGCTGAGCTGTACCTTGTTGATGGTCATGTGGTTCTCAGCTGAGTTGTCACTAAAAAAAAAATTAAATCTTTGAAACATTCTGGATACCATTTGAGCAATTGTTATTTATTTGCAAAAAACCCTGATTAACGCATTTTTCACAGCCATAAACTGATTCTGTTTTTGACAAGCGGCAACAGAGGTTTTCTTTGTCTCAAGGATGATAAATGTCTCACTTTTATCAATATCCAATTAAGCGAGCTTGATACGAGTTAAGGCAATCTTTGGAAATCAATAATATCTCTATGTGTGCTATCTATTATGCAGTATCAATTATAAAATAAGCGCAATATATTCTTTGTAAATGAAACAAATCCAAAGTCCATGGAGAATTTAATCTTTCATGTTTAGTCATACTTTCAATGAAGTCCAACTGACACAGTATTTTTATTATAGTATTTTAGTATATTTATTATTTGCTTAATCACAAAGTGCAGCCCAGTAGTTGTCATGATATACTGTACACCTTCATTATGGTGTAGACCTAAACCAAATTATTACCGTTTCTTAATGGATGCAATTTAAATGCAAATGAGTCACAAAAGGAAACTCACCCAACAGAGGTCTGCATCTTTGAGAAAATCATCAAGAGGAAGGAAGCCGTTTCTTCTGGGTTAAACGTCGAGGGCACAATAACATACTCCCCGGGAGGTAAATAGAAGACTTGGGTAGTTTCTCGAACATTCATGAAAGCTTTCGTTACTGATATTGGGCTGCTGCTGTTGAAGAATGATGCTGGAAATTTCCCTTTGGCATCCCGCAACTGGAAGATAAATAAAAATGTATAGTATGTATAACATACAAACATAAGTTAGGTGACACATGTACTTATAGTATAAACATGGAAACATTTTGCCAACATGACAAAAAAGCTTACTTACCTCTGGTGGTACCTGTACAATAAACGGATATTACAATGTTGTCAGTGTAAAATTAGAGCATCAGCACAATAATGAAAGCACATAATGATTTTCTTTAATTTTGCATCCTTCAAAAATAAATTGCCATAATACAAGCTATGACGAACTACATCATAGTACCTGAAGCACAAATTACTTTGGTATAAAAGTTAAGCACATTTTTGTCTGCTAATAATTCATGGCGCTAGGAGTAAAATTAAACATTGCAAGGAAGAAAATTACTAACCGCAAACAAAGTGAAACCAATATAATGATTGGGTGAAAGGGACCGACTCCCATTGTCTGGTTTCTGCAGGAGAGATACCACCATGTTGGTGGAGCCAGGATGATCACTGCCCTTGGTTCCAGATGTCACTCTGACTTGATACTGCGGATTCATCCAGAATGTCTCTGTACAGCATTTGAAGATAATATTTTAGGAAATGCCCAGAA